AGATGACTGGATAAAGAAGGTATGATATACTATATAATGGACTACTACTCAGCTATCTGCTGCCATTGTAGTAACATTTGCAGTAACATGGATGGATCTAGAGGGAACAATGCTGCATGAAGTCAGGCAGGGAATGACAAACACTGCATGATTTCATTTATATATGGTATATAGAGAAATCAAACAGCTGAATTAACTAAAGGAAAAACAAACTTTTAGACTAAAAGACAAGTTTAGTGGTTACCATAAGGAAAGAGGGAAAGAGGGGAAGTCAAATAAAAGGGGTCAACTGTATGGTGAAGGACAGAATTGGAATTTTAGCAGTGAACTTAATGTAGTATATACAGACATTGATTTAAAATAGTACACACCTGAAATTTTTATAAAATTATAATGCAGTGTTATTTCAATAAAAAATTAAAAAATGGATTCCCAAATTTATCATGGTAAAAAAAAGCATCAGAAACTTGTGTGGTATCCTGCACTCGTAGTTTGCATTTTAGCAAGACTTCTAGGTAAGTACTAGGCACACTGCAATCTGAGTGGTGCTGCCCTAGAGCCTGTGTGTCCCTCGTGCTGTGCTTCCTGCTCCCACAGCCATAAGCCTGTGACCTGAACTGCCCCCCGACTGAGGAGCACATTGTTGTTTTTTTTTAAAAATATTTATTTATTTATGCACACAAGAACTGGGGTACAGGCCAGAGGTGTGGGGGAGGGGAGGTGAGAGGACCCACCAGAGACAGGTGGGGAACAGAACAGGCAGAATGGCTGAAACACACTGCTGAGGGGAGCAGCGGGCGAGACAGGAGAGGTCTGCTGTGCCATGAGGGTAGCTCCCTAGCAGGGGATCCAATTCGTGCTGCAGTGGCTGCAGAGAGCTCCATACTTCATAGGTTGCGTCTTAACCCCTTGCTCCTCTGGGGCACATTGTTACAAATGTGCTTTCTGAATTAATTCAGATCTTTCTATCAGTAAATTTTGAAGTTTGTAGTTGTGAAGTGATTGTTTCCTAAAAGAAATGTGAAGCCCCACATGTTGAAGAAACCAATGGAAAGGAAGCAAAGGCGTCAGAGCTCATCGAGTGTGGTTAGAGACAGGGGTGAAGACAAATCCCCCAGTGCAGGGAGGGCTTGCCTTTTAAATAAGGGAGGGGGTGATGGATGCCTGTCTAGATGATCCTTGCTTCCACAAAGGAAAAGAGTAATTGAACTTACAGATTGTCCTTTCCTCTCTACAGGAATGTGTGTGTGTTGAGTTCTGAAGGATAGAAACTCTATTAAAGTTCCTAATGAGCTGGTCAAGAGACTCGGCAAGTGAGGTTATAGATTTTTGGTTTTTACCTTCTCATTAATATATTACATTTAGATATAATCAAATAGTGATTTATTTCAAAATATTTGAATCTTCTACCTGTACTTGCATGTTGTTTAACTGTTTTCTTAATTTTTTTTTCAATTCTCTTTCTTTTCAGATTTTCTCTTTTCTTTTACCAAATTGTCATAATGGGTAATCCAAGGAACCCCGTCATAAATATTAAGTATTATATTTTATAACTACTGAATAAAAAGCAAATCTTATGTAAAATGAAGTTTGGAAAGAGATCAGTGATTGCCAGAGGCTGGAGGGGTTGATCACAAAGAAGCAAGAAGAAATTTAGGGACAGGGATTGATAGAACCACTCCATATTTTCATTATTGTGGTGGCCACCTGGATGGACACGTGTCAAAATTCACAGAACTGTACACCTTAAAAGGGTAAACTTTAAATGACTTAAATTAGCACTCAATAACAAAGGTGGAGGGATAGTCCTATTAGAAGACAAATTAAGTTAATTACACTGAGTTATAGTATAATTGGGTGTGTTAGAACTGGGGATATATTTCTCAATTTTTAGAGGCAACATACTGTATTGGTTAAAAACATGTTAACTGTATTGGTTAGACTGTATTGGTTAAAAACCTTTAGAGCCAGAGGACTGCCTCACTCTATAAGTTTTTTTTTTTTTAAAGATTATTTATTTTATACAAGAACTGGGGTACAGGTCAGAAGCGCGGGAGGGTGAGAGAATTCACTAGAGCCAGAGTGGGGAGCAGAACAGGCAGGCAGAGCGAAGACACTGCTGAGGGGAGCAGCAGGTGAGGCAGGAGAGGTCTGCTGCAGATGTGGGTTTCTCCCTGGCTGGCGGGGAATCGAACCGGCGCTGCAGAGGCTGCGGACAGCTTCGCAGCGCGGCGCTCAACCGCTGCGCCATCGGGGAGGCCCCCCTCACTCTGTAAGTTATAGGACTCTCTGTTGCCTCAGTTTCCCCGTGTATCAGTTGAGATAGCAGTACCTACCTCATGTAACTATTGCTATAATTAAGCACCACTGACAAAGGCAAACCAGAGGAACAGGCACTGAAAAGTTAAGGCTGTGTAATGGAAGAAAGTCTCTGATCTTTCTTCACTTCACTGGGTGAGGTCATCCTTGTCTCTGCTGAAAAATAGTCTTCATCACAAACCCCCCACACGTAACTCTGCCCAGTCTGCCATATCAGGCAGCCACTGCTGAGTAAACACTCTGGAATAAACCTCAAAGAGAGAATAAATCACCTCTCATGCCACGCTCCCTCCAGGTGAGGACTGAGGTCATTGCAAGAGGCATAACAAATAGTCGACATAATGTACCAAACTAATAGATTCTATAAGGAAAACTAAATGGAAAATTTTTCTTCAGTACTAGGCACCTCTGGCTGAAGAGACAGTGAAGCCAGTGTTATTACAGATGTAGTTGAATCAATAACACTTTTTCATTCATTTCTTTTTCATTTCACAAAAATGCCTATTTTAACCAGAAAAAGAGGGAAGGAGATATTATCAAGGGCAATTTTTCATGCTCACATGGATTAAATTCTAGGACACATCGCTCTTCTAAATAGTCTCATTTCTGTTATTTTTCTCCTCTCCTCAGAAACATACTCAATTCTGTTCTAGCAGTGAGAATTCATCTGGAAAGCTATGACAATCAATTAAGTAAATGAGAAAATAGAATGCTTGTGATTATGATAATCAAGCTATATGAAACCCACCCTCTTAGGTCTAATACCCACACATCTTTAAGCAATATATTAATTAAGCTTTGGATAATTGTTACAATTAGGATCAAGCTTTTATAATTTTTAAAAATCACTCTGAGAGGAAAAGAGGAAATATTTTTAAAAGATATGCAGCTGTTGCTTTTTAATACAATTCATTTTCATGACTACACTATCGTTTCCTTGGCTGTGTGGAAACCATTCCAGTCTGCTTTATTGATGTGACTTCTCATCTACAAGTGGAGATATTTTGTGTGTAGCACTTTTTCAGTGTTTCCCTGTTTCCCTAAGATAGAAGTTGGCAAACTTTTCCTATAAAGGACTAGATAACAAATATTTTAATCTTGGCAGGCTAAAAGGAAACGTTATGTAAAAGTACTTAGATGACAGGAAACAAATTCCCGGTTTCTTTATTGATGGACTTTAAAACAAAATAAAAGTTGAGTACATTTTTGTTTTGGAAATACACATCTACTAAGGAGAAGAATGGATTTCTTACTGCTCAGTTGGGGTTCAATGATAGCGGCCCTTCATCCAGTCATCACCAATGTTCATTGTGAAATTCTTAGCTGTGGGCAGCAGGCTAGATGTGCTTCACAGAGTGCTGTTAACCGCCCCGGCCACTGAGCATTGCTCACATCTTCAACGTGCATCAGAATCACCTAAAGGACTAGTTAAAATAGATTGCTGAGCCAGACCCCCAGACTTCTGATGGGGTCCAAGAATTTGCATTTCTAACAAGTACCCACATGATGCTGATTCTTTGTCTGGGTACACACTTTTAGCTGTTGGTCCTTGTGAAACATCACATTGAATACATGTCTATTGTAGGGTAAAGAAAATGTCAGGCTTTTCTGCCCTCCCGCCATCAGGATGGATGATGGATCCTTGTGGTCCTGAATGCATGCCTGATGGCGGGCACCTGGAGTAGGGTGTGGGCCTAGGTAGATGGGATTCACCTGGGCTGAAACTGTGCTTTTAAGGTCGGCATCACAGGGATGCCAGCAGAAGCCAAGTGGCCAAAAGAGAAGCCGAGAAAGAAGTAGCAGAAGCCGAGAGAGAAGCAGAGAGAAGGCCAGAGAGCCCAGATAGAGTGAGGATTTGCTGGGGGCTGGGAGGACTGCCAGCCTCCAGGCCCCCCAGCACCCTTACCTGCTGTGTGCTGGGTAAATCCCAATAAAAGGCCTGCATAAAATGACTGAGGACTCTGACTCCTCCTTTACCTGGTCTGCTGGATTAGAAAACCTGCACTGTGGTCCTTCCTGCCCCTACACTATATATTTTATGTTTTCATCATTTACTTACATATTTCAGCTCACCTGATACTTTAACTCCTTGAACTCTGAGATACAGGGGGTAGGAAATCCGAAGTCAAAATTCCATTAAAAAGTGAAGAATTAGTTAGCTAGCCTGGGGTTGATAATAAAAGGAACATTATCACTTAAATGTCTATTTGTCTCTTGCTTACAAAGTCAGGTATTAGCAAATAGCATTTCTACAGTAAAGAATCTAATTCAATCACCTTTAAAATAGCAATATTCCAAAAGACATGTACATAAAACTAAGAATGACAGTGTTGCCTAGATTTAACGTGTTGTAATTCACTGGATTATCAATATGATGTCTCCTAGATTGGAATTTGTTGGTGTTTTCAACCCATAAAATTTCCTGAGGTCCTCAAGGGACTAGGGAGATGCCTGTCTCCTAAGTCCTGAAGTAACCCATGGTTTACTAGACCAAGTCATCTCTAGCTGAGAAGTTGCAATGGGCTATTACAGATGAGTTATGAATGATTTAAACTATTATCTCTAGTGAGAATGTGGAGAAGGTTAATTATAAATTAACAGGTCATCAGTTAATTTTTAGGATTACATCTTACCAAAGAGAGTCTTTCAGAAAAGAAACAAAATGGAAAATATATTCTCCTTCTGTTTATTTGTCCCAATGTTTTAAAAAATCAGCTTTATGAAACCATAATCTTCCTCATGACAGATGGGCTTATACATTAGCATCGTGCTTTCAATCAACAGTTAATGTTTCAAGAGGAAGGTGAAAAAACTGAATTTAAGACATCTCAGCATCTATTTGTCAATTTTCAATTTTATAACATTGATACAAAAAAATAGTATTCTGATTAGCAGCTTGTTTGGCAACCCATGTAACCCTAAACAGTACTACAAACCTGGAGAGTGCACTTTTACAGACAATTACGTTTGGCGAAATAGTATGTACAATTTTGACAAATAAATACATAAATACAATCATTCATATATAACAATATACCTAAATGTCAATTATCATCAAGCGTTTCTAGTAAATTACTTTTTTCATTCACAAGTTACTGCTGCTTATAAAAACTATCTTCACCTTTACAGAAGAAATGACAGTCAATTCCCCCACGAAACCCACAGATTAGGAAAGGTAGAAAATGAATCCCCGATGCGTTAATGCAAATATTCCGTTGTCTTTGATAGAAGAGATTTGATTGAAAAATTCCTTCCTTGACTTCTCTGTAAAGAGTTTATTTTCCCCATGTCATACCACCTAAAGGGGTTTTGTTGTTTTTGAATTTAATCCAAATCGAAAATGATCTTCATGTTTGATTTTGGTTACTTAAAAACACACCACTATATATTGACACTGGCATTTGCTCTAATGTAAGAAGACACAAAGCCGCAAACACTAGACACCAAAAATAAAACTTTTTATCCAAAAAGAAATTTCAAAAAAAGAAATTTTAAGAATACAAAAATTGATTACTGTTCCCTTTTGTTTTCCAATACACAATAAACAAAACAGGTGGGGGGAACAGTCAGAAGGTTTTGTAAAAATTGCCTGGATGACTCTTGGTACAATACTCTGAAATATCTGATGTCAAAGAAATGCTAACTTTTAAAAAATGACTTAAATGATTGACAGTATAATTTGACCAATGCCATGAAATTAACAAAATATAAAATTATAGTTTTTCTGGATCACTCGACGTAAATATTTTTGAACATTCAAAAAACAAAGGGCAAACATGCTTTAGGCTGTTGAAACACTGAACCAATGGCCTTGCCTCACCAAGTTTCATGCAGAAGAAAATGTTACATAGCAAGCAGATTCTAGCTATCAGTACAATTTGGGAGAAGAAAAAAATGTCTTTAAAATATATACATATGGTCTCTGATGAATATTTATATGTTGGTCACATGGGCACTACCTAGCGTAAGAGTTAGGAAATAGTTCTTTAAGACATACGATGCTCTGATTTTTGCTCTGTTTAACGATTAGGGCTCTATTCATTATGTATACACACACACAGAACAATTCATCGATGTACATATATGTATGATGCTTATAATGTGCAATTCCTTCACACCAAAGGTGGCTTGACCGAGCATAAGGTAGTCGCAATATGATAGTTAAGACAGACACTTGATTTGCTGCATAACTGAAAGACGAGCCAAGTACAAAATCAGGAATTTTCAAGTGATAGGAATTCACAGCAGTCGAAGGGGGAGGGGTGGGAGGTGGCTCACCTTGTGTGGATCTATCTCCCCAGGCTATCTAATACCGTTTTCTAATCAAACTCAGCATTCCTGCTGACTAAGATGAAAATGTATTAAAGGCTAAGAAGGGCTGTGTCATATTGGGTTCTTTTGGGCTGGGGATGACAGAGCCAATATTTTCAAGAAATAGTCCATGATTTCCATTTCATTTTTTCAACCTGTTTCCTATCAACTTTCACGGGGGCTTTGAAGAGTCACGTTAAAAAAAAAAAAAAGCTGTACTCTTTCAGTTGTGAGGCTTTCTTTGATTGAAACAGGTTTTCTAATGATTGGTAGATGGTCAGTGTGTGGCTTTGCTGAGTGGCTACACTTCTGATAGAGGTGGATCACTTAAAACTGTCCTCAAGGTTCTCACTGACAATTCAGATGAAATGTTTCCTGAGATCTAAGTTGATGTGACACATTTTGCAAAGCAAGTACTTCAATTACAATATATCCTCAGTCAGAGGCTCCTCCCCAAAGAAAGGTAGCTGCCTCCACTTTCAGCACCCTGGAATATCAAGGCAATGTACTGAAGTAATAATGTATTCATTGAAACCAGACGAAATGACAGAGAAACTGAAGCTTCCCCAACACCTAACCTTTATCCAAGGAAAAGTGAATGTCATTGAAGGACTGATACACTACTAGTTCATATTAAATATTCTGGGGGTAGAATTTATATTAAGATGTTACTACCACTGATGACCATCACTGTCATAATTTTAGCATGTAGCATAATGCCCAATACACTGCATGAAGTAGCACCTTGTAACTAAGGGCATCAGAAGAGTTACCAAATGCAATTTGATCTCACAGCACCTGTGAGGTAGGTGTTATTTCCAGCCATTTTATAAGTGAGCATATTGAAGCACAGTAGGTAGGAGATTCTTGCTCACATACCCAGTAAGTACAATGGCATCCATGAGCCCTGACCCCAAGCTTCCCCACCCTTTGTTCTCCTGAACCTTCATCACCAAATCTCCAGAACACCTCCCAACAGCATCGCTGCTAGAGGTACTTAGGTGCTTAGGATGCTAGAGAATATTGTATCTATAAATTTCAGGGCTAACTCATTCGATAGTATTGGTACCCACGAAGAGATTTTCTCACGTGTTTTGCAAATGTAAATGTGTGGGAGGGGCATCTTATACTATTGCTAAACTTATGCTAATTATCATGTATACAGAAATTCATATTTTCTCCATGTGATTTATTGTTGTTCTGGCTTCTTACCAACTTATTTCTACACATGTGCCTATCTGAGCCAGATACTGTAAAATGCATTTAGCGACACTGTGTGGGGGGAACAGATGAGATTATGTTTGGCAAAGTCTCCTTGGAGGCACCAGGTAATGTTTGTTCTGAAAGAGCAAAAAACCAAATTTCTTGTTTACCTTGCTAAGCAGCATTTTATATACATTCCACCTACTGACTAGGTTTACTCCTTGGATGAGCAAGCAGAGCTGTCTTCCAAACACATAGAATATCTGAGTCTCAGGTTTAAATTTCCATTTTTTTAACTGCAACCTCCTGCCAGTACTAAGTTCATCTCTTGGAGGAACCAAAGATACTGTACACATTATATGGTAATATATGTAAAAATTCAATGTAACAGCACATACAATATTAATAATCACATCTAGCAAGTCTTCCTGACTGTGCATTTCTGAATTGTTTTTGATAAAGTTATTTACTTATTTTTTGCAGAGATGATATGAAGACATTACTGTTACAGTTTCCCAGAACCAGATTTTTTTTTCTCTCAGATACATAGTATGTGAATCCTAGCAGTTGTTAGGAAGTTGCTTTTTGAGATCAATAGCAATGCCTTAGGACCTGAGGATGAGACCTGGTCCTTCTAACTCATGTATTGTTTCTATAACCAGAGTCTAACATTTGCAATTCCAAGAAAGGAACTAAGAACGGAAAGGAAAAAACTTTTTACAAAACCCCTCACCAGTTCATCTCGCCTGGTGACACCTGTAAAATATCAACACCCCAGGCCCCATTTCTTAAAAAAAGCAAAGAAATGTATTTACATCAGTAAAAATCTTAGCATTTGAGATGCTTCTTGCTTGACATGTCATTCCAAATTCTGTGCATTTCTTCTGGAGAGATCTGATGCACGGTGATAACTCGACGAAACCTACACAAACTGTAGGCCATTTTCCAGTGATTGAAGCCACTGTTCTGGAAGGGATGTATGCCCAGCTTTCGAAGACACAGTCCCACATACACATCTTCAAGGTGAAGAAGCCTTGTATGGAGTGAGGTCTTGTAAATGAGTTCGGCCACATCGCCTGAAAAGATATAGCCAGTCCCCGAGCAGAAGGGTGGGTAGTTACTGTCAGGATACATGTCCCGGGGCATATACCACTTACTGCGCACGTCCCGAATAGGCCCTCCATTGATGACATAGCCAGTGAAATACCTTCTTCTTGGCTTGGTGGAAGGTTTTAGTAGTTTATAAATAAGGTTGTCCATGTTTACAAAAATGTCAGTGTCTGTTTTCATGACATACTTGGCTTTTGAACAAAAAGTGGCCACCCATCTCATCCCCATTAAAGTTTTGAGGGTAAGGTTATGGTAGGAGTCAATAAAGTCCTCCACGATAATGTCATGGAAGATTTGGCTCTCTTGCTCCACCATATGGTTCAGAACAGGATCAGAGTTCTTGCCCAGGAGGAAGAGAGTTGCGATCTTAATCCCTTTAAAGTTGTTCTCATCTCCCCAAGTCTCTCGAATTGCCTGGCGGGCATCAAATTCTTTGTGGGTAGTGCTGATGAGGATAACAAGGAAAGGAATATTTTTCTCACATTTCTTGGGTTCATTAATAAGAAATTCAAAAGAATGTGGGTTTATAGGCCGAGTTCTTATGTTGCCAAAGGTGAAGTTTTTCCTAGCAACTATTAGGTGGCTGAAGGGCTTGGAGCCAGTGTAGGAGGAAGTAGGACGAGTTATACTCAAGTACCAGAGAGCACTGGCCCAGCACACAACTGTCAAAACATATAAGCAGGAGACTTTTGAAGCCATTGTCTTGAGAGCACGTCTACTCCAAATACTGAAGAATAGGCCTTGTTGGCATTAGCTTTTTTTCATCTTGCAGAGGCAGCATATTACACATAAATCTTAAAGTTCAACACAGAAGCGTGAGTGTGGGATTGTCCATGGTCTCAGTGGCACTCTGGCATCTCTGCATTCACTTTCCTTTCTTCCAAACCTGATGGAAGGCTCCAGGCCTCACAAATCTTCCTCTTAATTCTGCAAAATCAATAAAGTACAGTTGTCGTTCAGAATTATTTAGTCATTTCACATCTTCAAACAACATAAGAAGGGCATAAGAATTACCCACAATGACTAAAATAAACACAATCATCTGTTTCCATCAGTACGGAAAACTTCCTGACACAACCGTCTTCCCATTTCTTCCCTTGATAGAAATTGTTTATGTATAGTCATACCCAATCAACAAGCATATAGATTATAAACTCTAGAAGAATATGAAGTAAACTCAACAATTTAGTAATTCAAAAAGATTCCATCTTTTCACAAAAGGCCTTCTTTGCAGTTAGTATTTTCTGACCCTAAAGTCCTCATTCAAGTAGGAGAGTCTCACAAACAACCTCATAATTCTTTTCCATGTTTTCCAAGTCTGGGTTTTTGTTTTCTTGACTCTGATGAAGTGATCAGTTCTCAGCATCTCTTGGCTTTTTCTGGCCCTATATTTGAAAATGTGTCAATCACCATGAGAAAATCTACTAAAATGGTCTCTCTTGGATTTGACTTACAAGTAATTCCCAAATTTTTCTCATTTCCCCCTTCCTGTTGCTCTCACAAATGCTAGTTCCTAATTCTCAGTCTTCTGTGAGGCTTCATCTGGAGGATAATTTTATCCCTCACATCTGGAGGCCATTGCCCAAGTGTCCTTTCTGACGGCTGGCAGCATTCATGTTGGAGTTGATCTACATGGTATCACTTTTTGTGACTTTCGGCAACTCATCTTTATGTTCCTTTGATGAAATTATTCTGGCCCTTGTTAATTCTCTTGACTTAGTTACACTTGTCTGTATACGCAGGGGTATGATATGAAAGATGACTAAGACTGGGGACCACAAATTCAATGAAGGCAACGGGGCGCATTAATTGGTGTTCATATAAGAAAATTTGTCCTTCAGAACTCTAAGCCCTTCTAGAACATCAATTGCTATCATGCCATCTAAAAATATATGCCAGGTTACAAAGTTCATTCGTGTAAAAAATGGTCTCTTCCTTCCCAGTGAGACCAAAAAATGATAGTCATGGAAGAAAGAGATAGCAGATAATGGGTATAAATTTCAACAAAGTCTGCTTCAAACAAAACTATACTCTTGAATGTACAGACTGTGTTCAAAGAATTTAACTGGTTTATAGATTGAAAATGATGTTTCTAAGCACAATACTCATGATGAAATGAAAAGACACAATGGGCAACAGCAGAGATAATACACATCCACTTGTCTCAGCCAAGAGCTGACTGTGAATATAGGGCCCATATGAGATGAGCAGTAACTCACTGTGGTTACGGTTCCAACTAAATGAATATTAGAATGGCTTCAAGCAGCATGACTCAGGCATCCAACCCATAATAAATACTCTCCAAATACAGGCTTTGGTATTTGGCCTCCTGGCGAAAAATTCTGCTATAAGGTGCAGCAGAGCTGATAAAAAGAAGGATTTGATGTGCAGCAAGCTTTGACACCTTAAACAGTAAGCAAGCATAAGTGAGAGAAAGCAGTAATAGAGAGTTTAGACAAGGGGTTGTCAATGTAGGAGACACAGTCATCAACTCCATTTGGATTCCAAAGCAACGTGAGTCTCAAAATGGTACTAGAACCACACTTTCTCCAATATTGTCCAAGGCTTGTCTCGATTCTTATAAGCCTAACTTGATCATCATAGAGCCCTTCTCATCTTCACACTAAATTTCAAGCCAACTGTCGCTAATCTAGTAAGGGACTCCCCAAGAGACTCACCTGAAAGAGACTCCTGTCAAATTCTCCACTGGAACTACTAAAAGGCTATTAGTGGAGGATAATGGTGTGCACAAAGTATTCAAAAAACACAGCAGAACTCATACTCCTCCAGAGGGAAAGAGTCTGGGAGGCAAGACTTCAAGTAAATTATTAAAACAGTGTGACAAGCACTATCATCAGAAAGCTACAGGAGTACACAGGAGAGGTCAGTGGACAGACAGGGTATGGGAGAACCAGTCGTACCTGGCAACTGTGCCTGGTACGACTCCAGAGGGCACCATTCACAGAGACTACAATGTGAAATTCCATTTCCCAGCCCCGTCCTGCCATCAAACCACAAGGTTGTTTTGGGGAGCAAGTCATGGAAATTTCAGAAAGTTTACCTAAGATGAATCTTCAAGAACAAGTAGAAATTATCTGGATGAAAGTTAGACATTCTAGGAAGAGGACCTACCAGTGCAAAGCATAAGAGAGCACGGCATGTGTCAGAACTACAAATATTGGAGTAAAGGAAGAGCATAGGGTGATGGGGAGAGTAGGGATGGTGAGATTTGGGGATCTCCAGGGAAGCAAGGGTCAGCAGCGAGAGGCACTCAGAAACTACTCTCAGCTGAGTAGCTTATGACCCATCTTTGCAATGTAAAGGTCATAAGAGAGGAATGTACCATTTGCAAATCCTGTTCACTGATTTCAATAGCAAGTCACACTCCCATATTAAGGATTTCTTTTCCCCATAGGCCTATGCCTAAGAAGAGTGAAATTTGTTTTATCTAATAAAGGTCTGTGTGACTTTTCTGGAGGAAGGAATCTAAAAACATTGATATCTGGAAGATTTATAAAGAAGTAAAAGAGTGAAATAGAAGACAAGTAGCTGAGGGCATGAATAAAAGTTTACACATTTATAAATATTTTTTATAGAATAAGAAGCTTTCTTCCCCAGACAGCTAGCAAATACGATCCTTCTTACCACTGTTATCATAGGGTCTCATTTAAAAATGTGTAGTGTATGAGGTACTGAGCCTTGTACTATATTCTATGCTATGTGTTTTATACAGCCTGATCCTTGCAGTGTTAGAAGAAAGGTATTTTCTCCATTTTACAGAGGAGAGAATGGAGAATCAGAAGTACTAAGTAGCAAACTCAAGCAGACACAACTAGTGAGAGACTATAGTCCCAGATGCCTAAGGCATTAGGACAAAGGGCAACATCTTGGATGGCAAAACAGGGAAAGGAAGCACATCAGGCTGCTCTCCATTCATCAATTTTCTCAGATGTGTGTCCATTGCTTGGATATTTTTCTAGTTCATTTTGATTTGCTACATATCATACCACATCAATTTTGTGGCCATTCTTTTTTTTTTAATTTTCTTTTTATTGACATCATTGTTCCTTCTTAAACAATGTTTGCTACCCACCCCAGCCTGCCCTGCCGTGTAGTCCCTTTTTTGATTTGAAAAATGAATATTTGCAAAGAACATATTAAAATTTGAAGATTTTGGGGATAGGGGGAAGCTATAACTGTTGAGGAGGCTCAGAAACACTTTGCAGTTATTTTATTCTGAAGTCTACACACACATACACACACATGAAGAAAGAATCACTGTTTCTATTGTCTTCTTATTTAGATGTGAGAACAAAAGTAGTCACCATATTCCATCTTGGTCACTAGTAAATAAATAAAAACAGAGGATTTGAACTGTACAAAAGAACCACCTTAGATTCTAAAGAGCAGCCTGAGATAACATGGACCTACAACAAGGGGTGTTAAAATGTCCTTTTTGCTTACAACAAAACAGATTTTGCAGGTGGTCAGTTAGGTAGAAAAATATGCCTCTGGGCCAGAAATAGTAATAAAAGATAAGAGAATAGTATGGTGTATTTGGCCCTAAAGAGTAATTTCAATAATTTGAATTATTTGAATAAAGTAATTGAATAAAGAGTAATTTGAATGAAGTAGTTGGTAATGGGTCAAATGTCCATGTATTATTCCTGGAGTAATCCTAACTTGCTATCTGTCTTTTCCGTGCCTCAGTAACCTTATGTAAAAAATAAGGCCAAAAATAACATCTGCTTTGCTTCCAAATACATTATAGATATTGCTTCCAAATACATTATAGATATTGTTATGAATTTCTAGGGAAGGGTGCCAATGATACTCTGATGAAACAAAGAGGGTACCAGTTATGTTGGTTCATGATTTGGGATCCAAAGAACATATATTGATTGATTGTTCTAAATACATAGGGTTGTTGTCAGGTGTTTTTTTTTTTTTCTTGTTGTTGTTGTTGTTTTTGGCTTAGTGACTGCACTGTACAGATATTTCTGCTAGAGAATTATGTTTTTATCCTGGAAAACTCAAAACCCAAGTCCACTAAAATAAGGAACTACATTAACTGAAAAGTTCTGGGGAAGAACTGAGTGTCACAAAGCAGAATCTTCTGGAGGAGTCTCTCAGTTTCACAAGATTAAATTAAAAAAGTCCTGTTTAACAGACACATTAATGTATAAATACAAAGCTGCACATCTAACATTTGTCATTCCTTTTAGCAGTCTTACCACAACTACAGACACTGATGCCACATTAATTTGTCATCCATTAAACACAAATTCCTCCAAAGAGAAACATTCAACTAGAACATCTGAAAGATTTCCCCACCCAGGGGTCTTAATGCACCACAGATTACATCATTCACAGAACTCTCCAGTAACAATCCACCTTCACCTTTCAGGAAGTTAATAGGACAGAATTTTTCATTTAAGAAGCATGTTTTTCTTAGAAATTGCATGATTGATTATCTAATATTTTGAGTAATTTATTTTTTTAAAAGGGTTCCAAATTGATAAAGTTCTCCTGTTTTATATCCAGAAGTATGTTCTAGGAACAAGTGGGTAGTGGGTCTTGAGTGACCTGTGCATAACTTGGGGTGCCAAGCTCATGCTCTTCTCCATCATTGTTCAGGAAGGTAAAGTCAAACTGATCTCTCACACCTCAGCTGCCACTGAGTTGGCTTGGAATCATTCCAATCTGCAGGGAACCCACCAAGTGGCCTGCTGCCACTCCCTGAAGTCTCAAGGAATATACTATCTCCAAGTTCTAATCTCCCTTCAATTTTCAAAAATAGTTCACTTGTTCATCAAAGATGCACACAACACCCATTACATGCCAAGCACTGTTTTACAAGCTGGTGAGCCAGATGGGCAGCTTACTTTCTAGGAGAAGGAGGCAGAAATTGAACATATGAGAAATGA